ACAATACAATACAATACAATACAATACAATACAATAGCAGAGTTGGAAGGGACCTTGGAGGTCTTCTAGTCCAACCCCCTGCCTAGGCAGGAAACCCTACACCGTTCCAGACAAATGGCTATCCAACATCTTCTTAAAGACTTCCAGTGTTGGGGCATTCACAACTTCTGGAGGCAACTTCTGTTCCACTGATTGATTGTCCCTCACTGTCAGGAAACTGTCTCCTCAGTTGCTTCTCTCCTTGATTAGTTTCCACCCATTGCTTCTTGTTCCGCCCTCAGGCGCCTTGGGGAATAGAACAAGAAGCAACGGGTGGAAACTAATCAAGGAGAGAAGCAACTTAGAACGGAGGAGGAATTTTCCTGACGGTTAGGACAATTAATCAGTGGAACAGAAGTTGTCTCCAGAAGTTGTGAATGCCCCAACACTGGAAGACTTTAAGAAGAGGTTGCTTCTCTCTTTGATTAGTTTCCACCCATTGTGTCTTTCTCTGCCTTCTGGTGCTTTGGCGAATAAATGGATTTATGGCAGCCCCTCAAATACTGGGAAACTGCTCTCATTTCACCCTTGGTTCTTCTTTTCTCTAGATTGGCATCCTTAAGTAGAGGGTTGGACTAGAAGACCTCCAAGGTCCTTCCCACTCTGTTATTATATTATGTATTATATTACATTCCTGCAACCGTTCTTCATATGTTCTTGTCTCTGGGCCCTTTCTTATCTGACATGCTCGTCATAGTAGTAAGTCACAGTCCTTGACTTATGACCCGCAACTAAGCCCTAGACAAATGGTCATAACTGTATGCCCAACTTTTCTCTCGACCCCAGAGTCCTTCCTCATCTGTCACTGGGCCGCACACACTTCCAACTGGCATTTCTAAGATTGTTAAGGCTATTAAGTTTCACAGCCGAAGAGCCAGCGCTATCCGGAGACGTCTCCGTGGTCATGCGCCCGGCATGACTCAACGCACGAAACGCTGCTCCCTTCCCACCAAAGGTGGTCCCTATTTTCCTACTTGCAATGTTTTACGTGCTTTCGAACCGCTAGGTTGGCAGAAGCCGGGATGAGTCATGGGAGCTCCCTCCGTTACGCGGCGCTGGGGATTCGAACCGCCGAACCGCCGACCTTTCTGACCGACAAGCTCGGCGTCTTTCCCACTGAGCCACCGCATGTCCCTTCTAGGCTCATCTTCTGCGTGGCACGACAAAACCGCGGTCCACTAAAGCACGCCCGATTAAAGCACGTCGCTGACCTCATCAGCAGCGCGACAACAGCGACCGCGGAG